CCTTAGCATGAGAGTAATGCCTTATGGCATTTAAGTATCATGGTTTATGAAAAAGATAATACTATAGTATAGTGGCTTTACATAAAAATTCATAAAATTCATTTGCATCACCACTCAAAACTCATTAAAACTCATCTCTGTGTGACCTTTTACATGCTTTAAAATGGTGTAAAAAACATAAGTAAATATTGCTGTTTATTACTATGTATGGTTATATTTATCCATAGAGGTTTCTGTGGCTCAGTGGTAGAGCATTGCGTTAGCATTGCAAAAGGTCGTGGGTTAGATTCCCAGGGAACACACATACTGGTAAAAAATGTATAGCCTGAATGCACTGTAAGTCGCTTTGGATAAAAGCGTCTGCTAAATGCATAAATTATTATAAATTCATTAAATTATTTATAAATATGATTGTGTTCATTTAGTATAAAATATGCCTTCATTTTGAACTGCATTGTACAAAAATCACTCTTTTAAGGCATTACAGAGGAAATGCATAAATATTAAGTTTTTTCTTTTCAGTTTTGGTTATATTTATCCATAGAGGTTTCTGTGGCTCAGTGGTAGAGCATTGAGTTAGCAGTGCAAAAGGTCGTGGGTTAGATTCCCAGGGAACACACATACTGGTAAAAAATGTATAGCCTGAATGCACTGTAAGTCGCTTTGGATAAAAGCGTCTGCTAAATGCATAAATTATTATAAATTCATTAAATTATTTATAAATATGATTGTGTTCATTTAGTATAAAATATGCCTTCATTTTGAACTGCATTGTACAAAAATCACTCTTTTAAGGCATTACAGAGGAAATGCATAAATATTAAGTTTTTTCTTTTCAGTTTTAGTACCCAGCACTGACACATCCTGCTGTATGAGATCAGTAACAAAGCAATATGATAAGAGCATTAATATTATGGAATGTGAATCCTTAAATCCTTTTAAAAACTATAAAAATACATTTAAATTGTGGGGGAAAAAATAATAGCAAATGATATAAAAAAAGAAAATAAAAGCATTAAAAATATATTTAAAAAAAGAGAAAATATGGGGAAAACTTCTCTTTACACAATACATAATACACAATCACAGCATTTATTTAAAATGTTGTTATTATTATCTGTATTTTATTATTTTCTGCATCTGCCTAAATCAATTAATATTAGAAGCAGAAACTAGGGCTTGTTCAACTTTGTCTGTGGCTAAGTTGGGCACTGAACTGTTTTGGCATGCTTTTTAGTGATGCACTAATAATTTTAATGTTATGGCCAATAATTGATAAATGACTGAAATTATACACTCATTAAAAAAAGTTAATAATCTTGTGAAATCTGCTATAGAAACAAGTAAACTGTAAGTCAGTAACTGATATGCTGCTGATATATCATGTTTCTCTAGTCACGTTTTTAAGGATGAAATATTATAGATTGGAGCTTCACTTTTATAAAACACACAGAAGAACATATATTTTAAATATCCATCTCTATCGGCTAGATTTCCATATCATATGTTAATATGACATTACCATCTGACATTGTACCATAATAGCACCACTGCTCTTCTATAAGTGGATTACAGATTAAAAACACAAAAAACGTGGATCTTTAAAAACGAATAATAATCTCTGGGACAAATACACGCGTTTTCCCCCCACTTATAATGACTGTAATACACCCCTGCTCTTACTCATTATACTGTCATATTCTAATAATATTCCACAAACCCAGATCAAAGCATTTATCATGATCCATGACTGCCCAACATCTCCTAATGTGTCTGGAAACCCAGGTCCTCCCCCCGTCTGAAGTAAAACCACATTTGATGAAGCGTACAGCTGAGAAGAATGAAATACCTTCAAATGCGACAGTATTTACATGAATGACGATCCAGCAGCGATATTTGCAGAAGGACTCCGTCAAAACATCGCGAATCCCAATGAGGAAGTGATGCCGATCAGCTGATCCTCAGCGCCCCACGTGATGCTCGAGCGCGTGACGTCACCTGACCACATTTCACGTCAACAAAACACAATTTATTATTGCATTGAATTAAAAAAAAATGAGATGGTCCTCACTGCAGAACACAGGATGCAGGGGGCGAGGTTGTATCTAGATCCAACTCCTCTCACCTTACATATACCTAAACCTATCCGTCTCCACCCCTGATCCCTAAACCCACCCATCTCCACCCCTAAACCTACCATCTCCACCCCCTAGATGTGGATCCAACCCCGCCCCCTGGATCTTTGTTCTGCAGTGAGGGGCTACTGAAAAAAAATATTTAAAAAAGCATTTATGCACAAAAAAAATCTAAATTTATTAAGAATAAATTCTCTTTCATTTTCAGCCCAACAGAAATAATTACTCTTGCTTTTTATTAAGAGAACCCTGATCATTTATCAGTTGAATACGTTGCCAACTTCTTTATATTGTATGGAAAAGTTTTCATTCTCAAGCAAAATTAGTCAAGTTCTCCTTTGTGTCTTTCTTCCAATTTTTCTTTTTGAAATTAGCTCCCCAATTTCTTCCCTCATACTTTACAAAATGGCAGAAATTCTAGATTTTTAAGCTTTTTGAGAGTGTATTTTATGGAAGCCCGTTTCCTCCACTAAATTAAAAAAAAAAAAGGTTATTGTGAGTTTATATCTCGCAATTCTGACTTTTTTCACAGAATTGTGAGATATAAACTCGCAATTGCGAGTTATAAAAGTTTTCATTCTCAAGCAAAATTTGTCAAGTTCTCCTTTGTGTCTTTCTTCCAATTTTTCTTTTTGAAATTAGCTCCCCAATTTCTTCCCTCATACTTTACAAAATAGCAGAAATTCTAGATTTTTAAGCTTTTTGAGAGTGTATTTTATGGAAGCCCGTTTCCTCCACTAAATAAAAAAAAAAAAAGGTTATTGTGAGTTTATATCTCGCAATTCTGACTTTTTTCACAGAATTGTGAGATATAAACTCGCAATTGCGAGTTATAAAGTCAGAATTGCGAGATATAAAGTCAGAATTGCGAGATAAAAAGAAAGAATTGCGAGATATAAAGTCAGAATTGCGAGA